TGTGAATCTATTTTGGTAACCTATACATTTAGCTAAAATGAAATACAAACATAATATCAATAACAATTATACATTATTAATATATATATATATATATATATATAATTTTATAAAAATTATATATTAGCGGCGGTTTGGCGGGTTGGGCGGGTTAAGCTAGGCCCAACCCAATTTCAACCCTTCTAATTGGCGGGTTAGCGGTTTGGCGGGTGGGCGGTTTGGTGGTTAGACGGGTTGGGTTTAATTGGGTTGTTAGCGGGTAGGGTTGGGCAGGTTTTGCGGGTTGACGATTTTTTGTGCACCCCTAGTTGATATATAGATGAATATAATCCAAATGGTACACACTCTTTTGGCTAGAAGAAACGAAAACTTACTTAAAACATTGTTGCAAAATTGCATCCTCATGCTTCAGTCAGGGTAGCTTGTATTGCCGTAACATGTAGAAGTGTAGATATAATATTTGAAAAAGTTTAAAAAAAGGGAAACTAAAATATTAGAAATCTAAGTTTTATCACTGCCTAAAAGTACCCTACCCCCTTTGGATTAATACCTAACTCGGAAAACAAACACACCTATTAAACTTGATAAGTCCACTTGAACAAATAAAATAAATGAAAGAAGAGATAAAGAAGAAAGTTGTGAGACCTCAACATAACTTGCAAAATCAGTTTAATCCTCTTCAATGACACCAAATCTTGAATAATCTTACAATACATCAAAAACCCACAAAAGAAATTTACTTTTCATTAGTTGCTTCGGATGGAAGCATATAAATAACATCATATATATATATGAATCAATATTACCTTCTCGAAGCGGTTTTCCCAATAACAACTTCCATCTTTATGTCGATCTGCCAACATCGGCAAGAACTATGGATATTGTCGAATCATCTGCTCTAAAATGTACCAACTGCATATACAAAAAATATTACTACATTAACCATTTTTGCTCTACATATAAAATCAGGCACACCTTATAAGAGAAGGTGTCCAAAGCATAAAAATTCATTCTATTCATGACTTCAATGACAATAAAGATCATTATAAATAAATAAAAGAATGACAAAGAGGTGCAAACTTTAGCTTAGATGTTATTTTTGGTCAATGTTCTATAACATTTATTAAAAAAATCGTTAAGGCATCTCAATTTAAGTGGTGGAAAGAAAATTAACAGAGAAAATAATAGTTCTGATCCTAGAAAATGTATATTACCCTTAAACCAAAAGGAAAGTGATAAATAAAAGATGTCTTTTATTTGAACCAGGTCACTACAAAGCAGCATCATCAACCGTCATGGCCTCCATTTGCCAAGACTCTAATAAAAGATCAAGTTTAAGAACTTACGTAATCCTCAAAAAGATCCTTGATATGATTGTACCAGCGAGATACATTAATATATCGAGGTGACGAAGGCTTCGTGAAAAGCCATCTTTTGAAGTTGGGTACTTGAGGAAAATAAACCCATAACAAAAACTATAAATGAATGAAGCATATGAGGAAAATAAACCTATAACAAAAACTATAAACCCATAAGTCATAACAAAAGCTATCTAGTGAATATAAGATGTTCAAAGAACGCAATTAAAACAGTATGAATTTCCAAAAACTGGTGGAATGTTGCAGCACAAAACAATAGGCTTTCAAGTTTAAGATTTAGATAATCTAATGGTGCAAAGACAAGCTAATCACTTAATTTAGCTTCAAGTATAAACAAATGGAAAATAATGTCAACAAAAGGACTCAAGGTTGGGATAAAAAGAAAATAAAATACCTAAAAGTAAAGAAATAAGTGTTTTATGCCTTGAATAATCAATGCATATCAGACGGCAAAAGAGTTCATATGTGAACTCGTTTGATTCACATATGAACTATATGTTCATATGTGAACCCGTGTGATTCGCATATAAACTATATGTTCACATACAAACCCATTTAATTCACATATGAACTATATGTTCATATGTGAATCAGTTAATTAGTTCATATATGAATCACACAATTTCATATGTGAATAAGTTAAAATAGTTAATATGTGAATTACATGAGTTCACATAGAACATATAGTTCATATGTGAATCACACAGGTTCACTTATGAACCTATTTGCCGTTTATTTATAAAAGTTACAAAACTACCTCTATATTTTTGTAATAGCCACAAATTTTGATCAGTCAAAGCAGTAATTCTTGACCAGTCAACGCCACAATGTTTGACCTGTCAAATCCGATCATGATCGTATGAATGACTAGAATCATTTCTTTACTTATCAAATATTTACCACTTCTCAAAATAACATATGGCCTATATATATAGGCGAATCATCGTGTGAGAATGAGAGTTAATATGAGAAGCGTAAAAAGATATATGAACCTTCTATCACTTGTAATCTCATGCTCTACCTATGAATTACGCTTTAGAAGAAAATTGATCTGGTGCATCTCGGTGTACCTCTTTAATATTGACATTCAATTATGATTGATATAGGGGTGGAGATCTCTTCTCACCATAATTTCCTTTCTCATCGAAACCCAACCCTATATATATATATATATACACGTTTGTATGTTTTACAATTGGATGTTAACGATGTGAAATGTTTTGAACATGCCATTTTTTAATATTGGGTGAAATGTATGCTAAATAAATTAAAGAGTGAATTACACTTTTGGTCTTTGTGGTTGCCACTCACTATCAAGTCTCGTTCATATTTCAAAATAATTACACTTTTCGTCATTGTGCTTACCACTTTGTTTCATTTTGGTCTTTTTGACTAACTCTGTTAAAAAGAGTCTGCTAACTCGAGGACATTGTGCCCTTTATAATTTAAAGACCTCACCCCTTCTCTTCCCTTCCAGTACATAAACCCCCTAGCACCGTTTTAACATAATTTAGTCTGAGGGACCAAAAGTGAAGCAAAAATGACAACCACAATGACCAAAATTGTAATTAGTTCAAAAGGACTAGAGTTGATAGTGGGTGGCAACAACGATGGCGGAAAGTGTAATTTCTAAATTAAATGTTGGAACAACGTGACGTGGCTATAAGTGTGGGGTTCATTACTAGGACGCTGATATTAGACGATGAAAAACACAAATAATGATGGTAATCGGTACATGTGCCAGAAGGGGTATCTCTAAGACTGCACTATGGGACAATAGTCAGACATATGCTTGACGGCACCTCTAAGCTTGACTCGAGACGAACGGAATGAGAAACCCCTACCATGCCAAGTGGTCGGATGAGATCTCTAATGTGATACAAATTGCACGTTTGATATATGCATAAAATGTTTTAATAAGCATGATGTTTATGAATGTTTTATGGGATAAATGATTTGTGTCTGATTTATATTATTATGGTGATTTACAAACGAAATGCGAAACCATGAACTCGGTAAGCTTAAAGCTAACGTTAACATGTATCTCATGTGATTTAGAGGCAACTAATGTGCATTAAAGGTAACAGTTTAATGAATCCAATTAAATTGAAATATAATTAAATGAGACTGAATTCAAAACTGTTCCACATGGCTTTTATTTTTGAATAATCAAATTGGTGGTACATTTTGTACAATTTATAACTAATGAATCAAATTTGAGAGTCGGCAAACCCAAATTCGTATGAATCATGGACCTACATGTTCATGTTTGTAGTGTGTAGGTGAGAAATATAAACTAAGGGTAGGGGTCTACATGACAAGAAAGTGATGGAGTAAATTAAATTGACAAAGCTACATTTTATCGACCCACGTGTTCATGTTTGTAGTATTTTAAGAAAGTTACGTGTTGTTGAGAAAGATAACGTAAAAAGGTAGGGGTCTGAATTACAAAAAACCGATGGAAAAGAAATGAATGTAGAAGTTACCAAACCCACATTGTATGATCTGACCAAGGACCTACGTGTTTTGGTTTCGGGGTCCCCTAAGATGCTTGTGTATGTTGGTGCGAACGATAAACACGAGGGTTGGGGTCGAAATTATAGAAGAAAGGGATGGAGATAATTAAACGTGGAAGTTGGCAATGCCACATTTTATTATTCCCACCATCAGTCTATATGGTCCGGGTTTCCGACGCTTCAAGATACTTGTGTGTGTCGGAGATAAGATAAAAGCAAGGGTAAGAGTACAAACGTTAAAGATTCTTTTTGTGGTTTTTCTTGATCTAAGTGTCATTGACGACGACAATATCCAATTGTAGCAAAAAAAAATGGATCACAGTGGTTACATCTACAAGTGTTGTAAATTTTTTATATTACAACAGACATAATTATTCGTGCCACGGGATTGTAGTGGACTCAAGGTGAATCAACCCCTATATGCATAACAACATAAGTAATTTTCTAGAGTATTGGCAAGAAGTCTCTTAACTCCAGATGTTTGTTTAACGATGATCGAGGGAATTTGAGGACCGCCTCTAAGGGGGCCAAGTGACAATTTTTTTAGCCGGAATCTCTAAATTTATATACATCTAATTATTGTAAAACCCTACAATGAGATTTATAAGATAGACTCGTTAGTGCAATTGTGCATCTTTATCGACATTTAACCGAACCATATTAATTGATCTTTGATACATGTAACGATTACTTGTACGAATATCGCTTATCCCATTTGCTATCATGATTCACGAGCTTTGAGCCTCGATAATCTACATAAAAAAATTATGTGAAATATAATATGTATAAAAATATAAAAAGAAACAGTATTCCAAACAAATCAGTAATAATATTTTAATAGATTAAAGGTATGTGTCTATTTAATATTTGAAAAGACAAGTCACGTGACGATTAAACAATTATGACCATCTAGTGTTGAAGTGAATATTTAACATGAATTGGAGCCCGTACATTTTGACTTCGTATGTGACGTAAATGAAAGTTCTTTATAGTATTGGGGGTTCAAATAAACAAATCCATAAATAAAGGGGTCTTTCTGAAATATTCTCGAAAGGGATCATAAATACTCGCCGGATCCAAATATTTCTCCAAAAATCATCGAAAAATGTCTTCCGTTTTTGGGTGCGGAAAGATCATAACCTCCGATGAATATCTCCTTCAAATCGATGGTTTCCTACGAGTACACAAAGATGGCCGATGTGAAAGATTCGTCGGCAATAAGACCGTCGCCGCCGGAATCGATCCTTCAACCGGAGTCCAATCGAAAGACGTCGTCATCTCGCCGGAAACCAACCTCTCTATAAGGCTTTACTTGCCCAAAACCACCTCTCCAAATCAGAAACTTCCTGTTCTGATTTATTATCACGGCGGTGGTTTCGTGGTGGAATCCGTCAAATCTCCTACTTATCACCCTACACTTAATTTTCTCGCCGCGAAGTCCGGCGTAATCGTCGTCTCCGTCGACTACCGGCTGGGGCCGGAGTATCCTCTCCCCATTGGATACAACGACTCGTGGGAAGCGATCAAGTGGGTCGCCACCCATGGTAAAGAAGGTGGTCCAGAGGCATGGTTAAACAGTGCAGATCTTCAGAAGGTGTTTCTCGCCGGAGATAGCGCCGGGGCGAATATTGCCCACAACATGGCAATCCGGTTCGGTTCAGACCCGATTGACGCAATAAAGCTGGAGGGTATCATTCTTCTCCACCCGTTTTTCGGAGGAGAAGACCCGATTGGATCGGAATGTGGGAAACACAAGCAGTTGAAAGCTTTTACCGATCAGTTCTGGAAGTTGGCGAATCCTTCAGGCAGTGGGTTGGATGACCCGTTGTTTAACCCGGAAAAGAACCCGAATCTTGGGGGATTGGGGAGCTCTAAGATTCTGGTATGTGTTGCAGAGAAGGATTCTTTGAGGGATAGAGGGTTAAATTACAGGGAGTTGATGGAAAAAAGCGGATGGAGGGGAGAATTGGAGATGATGGAGTCCAAAGAAGATCACGTGTTCTTTCTCTTCAATCCGTCGTGTGAGAATGCTTGTACTTTGCATGAGAGAGTGGGTGCTTTCATCAATCAGTGATAAGTGATGACAAGTGTCGATGTTGAATAATTGTACGGGAATGTAATATGTCAAATCATGCAATTAAAAAATAATATTGATATTGATGCAGATAACTGTGCGTAGGAAAGGGAAAATCATCAAAATAATCATTTTATACAATCTACTATAACAAAATAATCACTTTTTAGAGATTTTGTCAAACTGACACCCAAATCACCCTCAAGGACGATCCACCCCCGGGGGCGAGCCACGTCATCCTATCGCCCCCCCGGGGGGCGATCCAGCCCTAAGTATATTTTTTTTCTTTTTTTAATATCAATTTAACTATAAATACCAACCTCCTACTTCACAATTTTCACATCTTCTCTTTCATTTCTCTTCTTATATATTCTCCTCTCACAACCCTTTAACCCTTCAACACAATAAACCATCACAACTTTTAACCATTAAACACAATCAACCATAAAAAAACATAAAATCACGTCAAAGTGATGATGTTTGTGTGTATTTTCGAAGTGGCGGTTTATTCCGAGATATAAATGGTGTTGTAAAGAACCCCACATGCATAATACGTTTGTCTTCGCCAATAACGTATTATGGGGTCGTCAAACGTGTGACGAAAAAGATAAGTTTGCGTCTCCATAACTAGCATGGTTTATTTTTGCGTCTCTATAATAAGATATAATGTCTGATTTTTTCTCCAAAAATCAGCTAAAAATAATTTTTTTCGTAACCACAATTATCATTGTCTTATTTTATAACGAAAAACCATGAAATTTAAATTAAATACGTTAAAAAAAACAGTTTATGTATTGTTTCATTTTTATTAAAAACAACCCTTAATTGTCAAATAAAAAACACAAAATGACGAAATAGAGATCAAATTTCGTAAATCAGATATTATATCTGATTTACGAAACCCAAATCAGATAAAAATAATTTTTGCGTTACCATAATTATCATGGTTTATTTTTGCGTCTCTATAATCAGATATAATGTCTGATTTTTTCTCCAAAAATCAGTTAAAAATAATTTTTTCGTAACCACAATTATCATTGTCTTATTTTATAATGAAAAACCATGAAATTTTAAATTAAATACGTTAAAAAATACAGTTTATGTATTGTTTCATTTTTATTAAAAACACCCCTTAATTGACAAATAAAAAACACAAAATAACGAAATAGAGGTCATATTTCGTAAATCAGATATTATATCTGATTTACGAAACCTAAATCAGATAAAAATAATTTTTACATCTTCATAGTTATCATGGTTTATTTTTAAACTTTTACCCATGAAATTTGGTTAAAAAAAGTTAAAAAAATACAATTTAAATGGGACCGACCAACAATATCTTCTTTTTAGGATTAAAGTGGGACCCACCAACATTTTTTTTCTTTATGAATAGTACGGATCGCTCTCGTGTGGTTATTTTCGCAATGTCTCTAAAAAGTGGTTATTTTGTTATATTGAATTGTATAAAATGATTATTTTTATGATTTTCCCCGTACGAAATTAGAAGGTATAAGAATGCATTGTTTTTGGTAAAAAAATAAGAACTTTTTTTATAATTATATTAAAAACTTATTAAGAATTTTATAATAATGGTTTTTATAAGAATTTTTTTAGTATAT